AATTAATTAATTAAAAATATAATTAGCATAATATAATATTTCCAAGTGTGTTAATAATAATAATAATAATATTAACGTATATTTGCGTGCGTGTATATATATACAATTTCAAAGTAAAAAAAAAAAAAAAAATAACAATTGTGTAAAATTAGGTGAAGGGCAAGTACACAAGGTGGTATTTAAATAGTTCAAATTAAAAGCGGCGTAAAATAATTGAAATTTTTTTATTTATTAATACATATATATATTAATAAATTACATCGCTTGATGCAATAAAAATAAATAAATAAATTAATTAATTGTTTAATTAATTTAGAAAATTTTAGGTCGGGTAAACTAAAATTTGAAACAAAATTTTTCGCGCCAATAATAAAATATAATAGAAATGAGGAAACCACAAACAAAACACAAGATTACTCAAATGTTCAAAAAAAAATAAAATAAAATTTCACTTTAAAAAGAAAAAGAAAAAAATAGTACAGTCTGTTTGTTTCGTTTGTTTGTTTGTTTGTTTGTTTGTTTGCAGGGGGGAAATAATAAGATTTTTTTTTTTTCGGGTTATGTAATTAAAATATCCGGAAATTTCTTTTTTTTTTGTTGAAATTTTATTCTTAATTATTTATTAATAGGTATTTTTAAATTGTCCATTTGGAGTCATGACGTAAAATTACACGAAAACGATTATTTAAATACGTAAAAAATTTATTTTTAATAAAATTTAATATGTAGGAAGAAGTAGACAAAAAAAAAAAAATGGTGGGATCATCAAAAAAAAAAAAAAAAAAAAAAACAGAGGGCATGGCCTAGTCAAAAGTTGACGAGGGGAATGCCTTCCATGGCCCCAACAACGGTTCGCACGTACACTTTTTTTATTTTATTTTATTATTATTATTATTATTTTGTAAAATTTTCGGTCATTTATGAATGATTGTTAGTCGTAGTAATAAAATGATAAATACGACGACAGCACGCCATTTCAAAAATATAAAGTAATATAACTTACCTTTTTCTGTTTCCTGTAATATTCGGTTTGATTTTCTTCCTTCTCTCTTTTTTTTTTTTCTACAATTCTGTGAATTTATTTCTCTTTCATTTAAGTTAAAAATTTTTCAAATACAAAAAAAAATTTTGTTTTTTCATACGAAAAAAAAAAAAAAAATGTTATTAACAATGAAGAAGATACAACAACAACAACAACAAACAACACCTCGGCGGAGTTAGTAAAACTGATTATAAACAACTTTGTGTGGTTATTATTTTTGTTCGACTGATTAAAGTGCTGCGCTCTAATATATCTCTGTCTTTATTTATCTTATTTCTTTTTTTTTTTATAACCTGAACTCTCTCTCTCTTTTTTTTTTTAACTCCAACCGGCCCAAAATATATATAAAAAAAAGTAAATTTATTTTTTTTTTTTGGGGAAACAAAAAAAATTTTTTTTTTTTGTTTACTTTTATTTATTTATTTATTTATTTATCCTTCAAAAAAAAAAAAAATAAAAGTTGTTTTTGTATCCCGATTAAAACAATTAATGTGGGACTTTTTTTTTTTTTTTTTTTTTTTTTTTTTAGCTTTAATGTTTAATAAGACACCGAAATTTTTTTTTTTTAATATTTAAAAAAAAAATTATCATTAAAAATAATTTTCTTATTCATTCGGGAAAATGTATGTATTCCCCCACCACCTCCTCCTCCCTCTACTCCTCCTCGTTTTCTTTAAAAAAGAAAATTCTCTGATGCAGATTTTTTTTTTTTTTTTTGCTCGCAGGAAAGCTTGGGGGGAAATTCAAGAACGGCCATGTTGGCGACCATAAGTCCGGCAAATATACATTTGGATGAAACTTTGGCAACTTTAAGGTACGCTTGCCAGGCACGATCGATTGTAAATCGAGTTTACAAAAATGAAGATGCAAACGAAAGAATGATAAGGTATGAAATTTTAATTTATTAAAAATCCTTAGCCTCGTTTAAAAAAAAAAAAAAAAAAAAAACAAAAAATTTTCAATTTAAATTTGAAATTTTCTAATTTTTGACTATTTTTTTTGAGTAATAATAATAATAATAACTGGAAACTACGGTTGAATTATTTAAAATGTTAATAAAAAGTAAATTAAATTCTGAATATTTATATATTGAAAATAATTTATTTTGGAATGTATATTTCCACATTGAAGAAAAGTTTAAATAATTATTATTATTATTATTAATTAGTTAATTTATATTGGATTTAAATGTGTTTGCAGTTGTTATTTCACCGGACGGAAAATGACAAGGTAATAACTTAATTAACAGTCTGCAAATTGCTTTTGTTCAACAAACAAACAAACAAACAAACAAACCAACAAACTTATCTGTTGCGTTTTAGTAAAAAAAAATGTTAAGAATTGTTTTTTTTTTTAACCTCACATAAGATTAAAATTTTTTTTGTCCGAATACTAAAAAATAATGAAACGGGGGGGGGAGGGAGGGGAAATCTTAAAAACTTGTTTTTGCACCTTAACATTGAAAATGCGTTGCTTACATTAACAAATAAAATTTAATAAAATACTAACCTCGTGGTTCGGTTAAAATAAAATAAAAAAAATTTTGTTGTTTGTTTAATAATGTGATTTATTATTATTATTATTATTATTATTATTTTTTTTTTTTTTTTTTTTTGTCGGCAGGGAATTGAGAGCTGAAGTTGAAAAAATAACAATGCTCAAACAGGAATTGGACAAAATGAAAAAAATGGTTGAATTTTCCGAGAGTCAAGAAAAAGAAGATGAAATAGAAAGATTGAAAAAACAATTAATGGAAAGCGAAGAACTTTTGGCCAAATCACAAACGTTAGATTTTATTTATTTATTTATTTATCGATTGATTAGCGATTCGACAATAATTTAATTAATTTAATCAAATGAAAAATTATCTTTAAAAAGCATTTTTTTGTTTAAAAAAAAAAAAATTATTTAAAAAGTAATATGTAGGCTATCATTTCATTATTCTTTTAAAATTAAGCTTTTTTTTCTTTTTCCTGCGCAATTAAGATTAGGAATTAAATTATTATATTATCACGCACGGCAATAATTATTATTATTATTATTATCTTATTTGAGATTTCGTCACTTTTTGTTTGTTTGTTTTAGATCGTGGGCGGAACGTTTGCGAGAAGCCGAAAGTTTAAAAGCAGCCGAATTGCAATATTTAAAACGCTGCGGAATTTCAATAGGTTTGCAATGCGATAAAAAAATTCATGTTTGTAAATTTAACAGCGGATCCCATGTTGAGCGGTACTCTGTTGTACCTTCTACCTCCAGGACGTTTAGTGATTGGACGTTCGAACGATAAAAATCCCGATGAAAAACAACCGGATATAAGATTAAACGGTCCATTAATTCAACCCCATCACTGGTGATTTTTTTTTATTTGTATACAATTTTTTTTTTTGGCGTCAGAGAAAAAATTAATTAATGAATTTACTTACAGTGATATCGAAAATGAAAATGGAAGATTATATTTGATTCCCATCGAAGGCTGTGATACATACGTTAACGGATGCGTCATAAATGTCAAGACTGAATTATTTCACAAAGATAGAATCGTATTTGGTGGAATTCATTATTTTCGCATAAACATACCCAACGAATCATCCGAGAATGAGGAAAGAATCGTGGATTTTGATTTTGCACATCAGGAAATATTAAAAGTACAAGAGAAAAGATTGAGAAAAGAATTGGAAGAATCGAAACAAAAAGCAATAACGGAATTGGAATCGGAAATGGAATCGATGTTGGGAGCACAAAAATTTGATTACGAAAGACAAATCAACGAAATGTTGTCGGTCGTCGAAATGCAAACCAACGCACTCGCCGAGGAAAGAAAACAAAAACACGTTTTAGAAGTTGAAAAAAATGTTTTGCAAGAAAAGGTCAACAGTCAAAACGATTGCAGGAAAATGATTAGTGACGAGAGAAAAAATGTCAAAAGGATATCGATATACAAGTCGACGTTTTTACAGGTGATGAGTCAAACGGGAGGAGGAAGGTAAAAATTAAAACGAAAGGAAATAAATATGAATTTTTTTTTTTTTAGGATCTCAAAATGATTTTGAACGATGAAAATCGTCGGGAACCCGAATCAGAATCCGAAATGATAAGTTTACACGAAATGCAAATGCTCGTTCAGGAAGCAACACAAAGATGCAAAGAATTGGGTTTAAATTACGTAAGATTCGACATTTTTTTTTTTTTTTTTTAAAAGAGATTTTTAATTAATTATTTAAAATAGAATGACAAGCGAAAAATATAAAACGTATTAAAAAATCGGTTTGATTTTGCCTTTTCAAAGAGATTTTTTTTTTTTTTTTATCAATAATGATAATTACTATGTAATAAAAACCTAAATCGTACACCTGATAGCATTATCAGTGTTATTATTATTGTAATTATATTTAAAGTAAAAAACTACTCGAAGTCAATTTAACTTTTATTATTATTATTATTATTTTGGGGATTTAAAAAAAAAAAATTGTAAATTATTTTTAATTTTTTTTTTAGGAATTTCATCAGCAACAAATATTCAAAACAAACGGACTCAATAGAGTTGTCAAAGTTGTGCATAAAATAAAAAATGTTTTTGTTTTATGGGATTTACCAAATTTTATAAATTTTATTAACGTTTTAAGGGAAAGCGATCATAAGGTGGATTAAAATGACGTCATTTATTGATTTCGCATCAATAATAAATAAAATATAATAAAACATAAAAAAAATTTTTTTTTTTTTTAGAGAGGAATCGAAAAAATATTAAATAACGTCAAATGGAATGGGGGGCAAACGAAACGGATTGTAAAAAAAATAAAATTTTCGTTAACGCGGATGTTGCCGCCGCGAAAGAATTAACCGAGAATATTATTAAAAAAAAAGATGATGACGTCATTCTTTCTAACGGTTAGAACAAAAGAAAAATTACTTTTTGTGGAATGAAAAATTTTTTTTTTTTGGGATCTCGAATTTTTTTTTTGTTTTTTTAGATGAAAAAGTTCCTCGCGAAATTCACGATTGTCTTAAAGATATAAAAATAAAAATTGAAAATTTAATACAACGATGTCAATTTTACGACGAGTCGGAAAAATGGATGCAGAAAATTCAGGTTGCCGTGAAAGTTTTCGACATGTTTTTTTCCATTATCGAAGGTAAAGATTCATTTGATACTAATACTAATAATAATTCTCTTTCGATAATTGATAACAAAACGGGTAAATGCGTTCGTTTTAGCGGGATTTCATCTTAAAAAAAAAAAAAAAAATACCTCCTTATTATCATACTTTTTTTTTTTTTTTGTCTATTCATTGTTTTATTTGATTTTATTACGTTTTCCCCCCCCTCCCCCCTTTTTTTGCTTGTTTTTTTTTTTTCTTTGTTTTTATTTTGTGTATTATTTTGTTTCATTTTATTTGAAAATTTTAAAAAGAGATTAATTAATTTATGTTTTTAATAATAAATACATACTCGCGTTGGTTTAAGCAAATTAGGATTTTTATATTAGTCAATTTTTTTTTTTGTTTTTGTTTTTGCAAATGAGTTAAGCACATCAATCGAAATAATCATCGATATCAATATCAGGATTTAATAAGTCATCTCCGTACTGTGTCAAATCCAATTGATTTAAAATTAAATTTTCACACATTTCTTCTAGATCGGTGTCGCCGATTAATAAAGCTCCTTGCATTTTACCATTTTTCAAAACAATTTTAACGTATTCTTTGTCCCGCGTCACTCTCAACAAAACTTCGTAATCATTTTCAAGTTTTTGACCGTTGTACAACCCTAACAAAATAACTTTGTATCCGTATAATTTTGTCACGTGGGAAAATATTTCGAAACAAAAATCTTGGTATATTTCTTCGTTGTTAACGGATGCCGTCATGCATTTTGCACCGTAGCAACCCATTTGTTGTGCTTGAGTCCACAGTCTCATTTGATGCCAATGTTGAGCCCAAGTCCATCCGGCCGAACAAACGTCTCCGGCAGCAAAAACATCTTTTAGCGTCGTTTCCATTTTCCAATCGACAATTATTCCACCGTCTTCGCTTATTTTTAAATCTTTATTATCGCGCACGAATATTTCCGAATTGGGTACGACTCCCGTTGCTGACACGACAAAATCAACACCGTAACGTTTTCCATTCGTCAACTCGACGTAAACTGGATAATTTTCATCTCCTGTTATTATGTTTTCAACTCGAGTGTTGTATTCTATGGCGACTGAGTTTTCTTTTAAAGAACCTTTTAAATCATATCGTTTATGCCAATCAGGGCCCAGTGCAGGATTTTTTTTTTTTAAATTGGCATCGCTTGAATTTGGACTTGTTGTTGTTGTTGTTGTATAAACGACTCTCTTGATTATCGAAGATACATCTCCACATTTTTTATCTAATTTATTTTGAAAAAATTCAGCAGCACCTGGATCGATAAAATTTTTAGTTATGTAATTATCTTTAATTACCCAAATTTTTTCAATTCCTTCGACTTCATAAATAACTTCAGATGCTATTCCTCCATTTCCCACGACCATGATTCTTTTAGAGTTTTTAATTTTACTTTCAAAATCTTTTACCGATTCTGTATCTCTAATTCCTATAACATAAGGGTTACACATTTTAATCAAATTCGGTTCTCCTCCTGTGCAAATGCAAAGTTTTTTAAATGATATTTTCAATTTGTTTTCAGTTTCGATTATTCTGTCATCATAGTTTAACTTTGTTACATTGTCTGTTAAAAATTTTACATTGGGATATTTATCTGAAATTTTTGAAGATGTAGTTTCTTCAACATCTAACTCCATAATTGTTTTAGTTAAATAAACGGCTGAAGACACAGTTTTTATTATTTCCGATCTGGTAATCAATAAAATATCCGATTCTCGGTTTAATTGAGCCAATGTTTCGGCACAAGTAACTCCTGCAATACCTCCTCCTAAAACTACAAATGTGTAATCAAAACTCATGTTTATCCTTTTGTAAATCAATTATATTATACTAATTGTAAGAAATTAATTGTTTGCCGATTCACTAATTGTATCTTGATAATAATCATAATCATATTTTCTAAAGGGAACTTCATAACTTAATAAACCATAATTTTGAGCTTTTAAAATTGCTAATTTAATTTTGTAGTGTTGAACTTGGCAAACTCCAGTTTTTCTACAAAAAAAAAAAAAAAAATTAATAAAAAAATTATTATTATTATTCTGTAGTAATAATTTTTTAATTAGTTTTTAAGAAAAAAAATTCATAAAAAAAAAACAATTAATATTTTTTTAGTACTTAGATTCAAATATTGTTCCATTATCAGGTGAAATAAAATGTTTTAGTAATTCAATATTTTGATAATCGACCACCAAATATTCATCCCTGCATATAGGACAAGGACTTCCGGTTGATATTACATTTTTTCTCTATTAAAAAATAAAATATAATTACTCTAAATTTAATAATAATAGATAAGATATGTGAAATATATTTTTTCTCTTACAATACATGTTTTTCTAGTACGAGGCGGTAAGTGTCCTTTGAAATTTCTTCTGTAATGCTTCCATACAAAATCTTCACCATAAGCTTTTTTAAAAGCTAAAATGAAATGAAAATAAATAAAATATTTAAAATAGGATATGCAAATGTATATTTTTTTTAAAAAAAAGATATTACCATCACTTTTTAAATATGCTATACTAGTTTCAACGCTTATTACTTTAGATCTATCTTTTGGGTTAAGTTTTTTTTCTTCCGTTTCTGATTCTTTATCTTCTGTTCTACAAAAACCGGAAGTTGTAATAGTTCTCTACAATAAATAAAATTAAATTATTAGAATAATTTTTGAAAAATATTTAAAAGTTTCACTAATTTACGAGACAAAAATATTACTCTGAAAACGTTAAGAAAATTATTTCCAACAATTCTCGTTATCGACATGTTCGTGTTTTGTTGTTTATAATGCAAGTCTGCTGCCACTTTTTTTTTTTTTATTGAGGATAATTTTACATAGTTGTTATTGATTGAATAAATAAGTTTAATTTAAAAAAATAATACGACATACTAAAAGTACATTTTGATAATTAAAAAAATATTTATTAAAACTTATTTTTAAATGAGAACACGTTTTATTTTTAAAACTAATACGAATGTCGCTGATATTGATAATTACGAAAAGGACATACTTTAAATAGGTTTAATTGTAAGTCTTTTTTTTTTTTTTAAATGCAAATTGCACAATTATTATCGTTTAAATTTCTTAGTTTCTTTTATATTAATTAATTAATTTTACATTTAACTTTAATTCTAATTAATTTTCATTTTATCAATTTGAATTTAAGATAAAATAAAATTACAAATTATTATCTCATTTTATTAATAATTGTATTTTATTAAATGCATCCTATTTAATTTCTTTTTCATTTTTACTACTATCAATGATTGATTAAACAATTTAATTATTTTACATTAGGTTTATTATCTAAAATTACTTAAGAAAGTATTGAGAATAATTTCAAATTGAATGTAATAATTTTTTTTAAATTAAAATGTCGATTGCAAACATATAAATAAAAATATTAAGTATTTAATAAACGAAAAAAGAAAGAAAAATTTTATTGTAAATAAATGTATATAAAAAATTACTATAATTCTCCATTTATTATTATTATTACATTATTGAAAAAAAATAAAATTTTTTTCTGGTCGAATATAATAAATTAGTCATAATAATAATAATTCATTAGTATTTACGTGCCTGCCTTACAAACAGGCGGTGATTTTTATTTTTCTCTTGCCACTTTCATTTCCTTTGTTGAGTTGGAACTGACGTCAGCTCTTGAAGAATTGTAAATTGATGAAAATTATATTTTAATAGATATATATAAATTCATTTAGATGCTAGAAGTTTGTGCTTAATTGTTAGTGTCAATATATATAGGTTTTTAAACATACAAAATAAAATATTTTGTTATTACTTTATTATTAGCCTATCTTAAAAACTATTTTTTATTAGTTTTGTCCCCATAAAATTTCTTGCCCTTAAGCCATGTTTGGAAAGCGGATGTGCTTTCATTTTCAGTGTACGATATAAGTAATTCTTAAGTAAAATAAAAATTGATAATAAATCATATTAGATTTTATAATTAGAATTTATTTATAAATTATTTTTTATGGTAAGTAATTTTTAAAAATTATTTTAAAAACTACGATATATTATTTTTAATGGTTTTAATGTTTGCAGGTGGAAGAGGCATGGTCGGTCGAATGAATTCTAGGACGTCGCAGTAGCGGCCATTTTGAAATCAATTCCTTAATTATATTAAATAAGAACTTGTCTTTTTTTTTCATTCCCTTCGTTCTCCTGATACCTTAAGATTTTAACGTTGTTCAAATATGGCAAAGAATTATTTTAAACATGATAAGAGATTTTTTTACTTCGTTTCAGAAGTAGAAAATTAAACAAATTTAAAAATTGAATATACAATATTCGTTTAGTATATTTGAAACTTTAATTTTAAAAAATTTTTCAATTTTTCAGTAATAGTGTTTATGAAATCATCAAAAGAAAGTTAAAATGGTGAGTTTATTATTTGTACACAATCATGTACGAATTAATTTTTTAATAAAGTGGCAAGTTAATGCATGAGCAGAGTTTTTATTTATAAAATGGCTAGAAATGGCGTCGCACATAAAAGTCAACAAAATTATTCGCAGTTGAAAACATTTTTTATTCGTAAACTATTTATAATTAATAATAAATAACATTGCGTTTATTGTGAAAATTTAAAAATTCGAAAAGTTAAGTTTATGTTATCGGGGAAAAAAAAAAAATTTAACACGATACATCGAATTTTATTATTCCCTAATCCATTGAGTTTATAAAAAGTTTAGAATTCGATAGGAAACCCCTAATATAATTATTGTTAAAATTAATTTGAATGTGGAAACTCAAAATTTTTTAATTTTTTATAGCCTAAAATAGATCCTAGCCAATTGCTAGACTGCCTAGATTCACTGTTAGGCAGTGATGGTGGCATTAAGGGAGAAACTGAAGTCAAGCGGTTGGCTGTGTAAGTATAGTCCTACTTGTTGAAATTTTTAAAGAATTCTTTTTTTTTTTTATTTCTAACATTTATATTTTATGTTTCAGGTTAATGACAAAATTTTCAAAAAAGCTGGTCAGCAAATGTATATATATTTTGATATTAAAAAGTACAGAGCCAGATCTTCTTGCCAAGTAAGTATTTTACTGTTAATTTAAAAAGTTTGCTAAAGAATTTTTTTAAATGAAAAAATAATTCATTTACTCTTAATTATTTTAAATAATTTTAATTTATTTAAAATTTGTTTTTTATTTTAAAGATTTATGGCTGAAGGAGGTTGGGCATTAATTTTTCAATGGCTTGATGAAGGTATAAGCAATAATAATCATGCCCTTATTTGTGAAATATTGGGCTTACTCCTCAAGTGTCCTATTAGTCTTGATAGATTGAAAGAAAACAATTGTCCCAAAGTAGTGAAAGGTTTATCAAAAGATTCAGATTCTGAAGGTAATGTATCTCAATATTATTAGGTTTTATTTTTAAAAGTAAGAATTTTTACAAGTACTTATTATTATTATTATTTTTATTTACATGTATTTATAGAAGTTAAAAGTCTTGCCAGTAAATTGGTCGAACAGTGGCTTAAATTTATAAAATCTGGTCAGGCAGCCATATCGGATGTTGCAATGGCAGCTGTGTCCACTCCTGCCGATGTTAGCAAACCTGCCATAACAGTTTTACCTTCTAATTATACTGTTGTATCTACTGTTGCAATAAATTCGGGTTCAGGAACTGGAACTGGAGTCAAAAAAGCTAGTTCTTTACCACGAAAAGTTTCAAAGCCTGGAATTCAAATAGTTCGTGAATCATCATCAAGTGAAGAAGAGGAAGTTTCACAACTTGACTCTTTGCCTTTATATAAAATTACTGTGCGTGATGGAAAAAGTGTTTTAGCAAAAGTAGGTACCAAAACGTTATTGCCCGTGAACAAAAAAATAGAAAGTGACGTTGATGCAGTGAACACGATTGCATCAGTTGTATTAAAATCAGACCCTATTTCTAAAAAATTTAGATATATAACTAAGCCTATTAGTGAAAAAGAGAAGTCGGACGTGAACGAATTAAAACATGATGATCTATCGAATCGTGATATTAGTGATAATCACCAATTGGTTACTAGTGGAAATAATGATACATTATCAAAACAGAAAATAGTATTACCCAAATGTGATAAAGATGAATCGATAATTGTAGATGAATCTGAATCTAGTTTAAAAAGTAAAGAAAATAAATCAAAAGTTTTTAGTTCTAAAACATGTAAGGAAAGTATCAGACCAAAGGATAATCAAAAAAGTGTTAAAAACAGTAAAGAATATGATTCGGAAAAGAACAGAGACAAGAGTAAAGATCGAAAATCAAGTCGGGATTCCGATAAGGATAGGAAAAAAAGTGATCATAAAAGTCACAAGGGTGACAAATCTCGAGAGAGAGATCGGGAAAAGGACAAGTACAAAAATAAAGAAAAAGACTGCCTTAAAGAAAAGCATAAAGAATCGGATAAAAGTAAATTAAAGGAGAAGTATGGTAAAGAAAAGGAAGGTGGTAAAACGAGTGAAAAAGTTCAAACTCAGGCGGATAAAGATAAAGACACTTTAGAGAGATTAAAGACTCCAGCAATTAATCTTTTGGGAAAAATTCCTAAAAAATCATCTAGTCATAATTTAAACAGCTCAACAAAAGCAATCGGTAGCAGCAATAATACGCAAACAAACAAACAAACAAGTTACGTTGAATCCGCGGATAAAATTGGGGATACGAAAAAAGTCATCGATGGAAGACCCTTGAAAATGCGACCCAAAACCGTGAAAACCTTTAATTCGAAATTTAGGTCGACGGGTTTAGAAGAAGAAATAAAACCACCTCCGTCGAGGAGCAACATAAAGAAAAAAGCGGATGAAAAAAGGCCGCTGGGAAAATATGAAACCCTAACGAAAAATGATGGTTCTTCCCCGAAAGAAAGTCACCAGCCCCCCGAAAAGAAACCCAAATTATCATCAGACGTGTCAATAGATTTACAAAAGGACAAAATATTGGAAAAACCAGGCGGAATCAAATTAATTCCTCCCAAACCCAAACGTAAGTTTTTTATTTATATTAATTTTTTTTTTTTTTTTTTTATATATAAATCAACTTATTTCTTTAATTTAAAAAAAAAAATTTAAATTCCCTGAGGTGGTTGAATATGGTTCAAATCTCATGTATCTCGAAATAATAAATTTTTTTTTTTCGAGAACTTTCTAAAAAAAAAAAAAAAAAAAAAAAAAGGGGGGTATTAAAAATTAAACATGCCCCCTCCCCCCTCCCATAAACGTAAAAATTTAGGCAAAATTATAGGCGTAAACACTCATTAATAATACCTTACCAACAAGATGATGATGGCACGACTCGACGCCATATTTATAAGCCAAAAAAAAATAATTTTTTAATTATTAAAAAACGTAATTATGTTTATTAAATTGTGTCTTGACATAAAATTTCAAGAGATTTAATTAGGAAAATTTGCTTAATATCGAAAGTTTAATTATAATAATCGTAATTATAATTTTGGTGGATTTTTCAATAAAATCATCATCATCATCATCATCATCATCATTATTATTTTTATTTTAATTTTTAAATTTACGCTTGAATTACGCTTAATACGTTATCAAAAAAAAAAAAAAAAATTTATTTAAATGATTTTAAATAATATAAAAATAGTAGGTACTAAATAAAAATATTATTTATTGATAAATATATTTTTTTTTTTTTTTTAAAAAAAATGAATAATGATAATAAATCATTGTTTAAAGTGATGGGTGGTTATTATAATTATATAATTAATTAAATAAAATTAATTAGATTAAAAATATGAAAAGGTTACTTACTAATAATATCGAAAGTGTTTGGTTATTTTTTTTTTTTTTTTAATATTATTATTATTATTACCCGTGAAAAATTTATATTTATGTATATATCACGTGTTTTTATTAACTCGAATTTGAGTTTTGAAAAAAAAAAAAAAAAAAGATTTAAAAAAATTTTATTCGTTTTTAAAAAAATAATAAAGTTCGACTTTTTGTTTTTATATTAAATTTAATCGTAAAATAACATAAAAAACATATTTTTCTTAACATCCGTATTTAAAAAAATTAATTTACGTTTGATGATCACTCTAACGGTTTTTCAAATGTAGAAAATCGAGGACTTATAATTACTCGTGGTAAATAAAAAAGAAATTATATATTTCGCAGCAACATTATTAGAAAGTGACATGTTCAGCGATGCGTTAACGGCTTCAACAAAATTTGAACCGCGAAAAAGAAAAAGACGTATTAGTAGTAATAAAGACGGAGTTGAAGCTAAAAAAGAAATAAAAGATGAAAATATAACAACGAATTCAACAACAACAACAACAACAACAACAGATCAATCATTATCACCAAAAGATGTTAAACCATCTTTTAAGTTTTACAGAGACACACTTGAAGATGACGAGGAAAAGAATAAAGAAAATTCAGAAACTATTAAATGTAAGATTAACGTTATTATTATTATTATTATTATTTTTTTTTTTTTGAAAACGAAACAATAATAATAATAAATTTTTTTTTTTTTTTTTTTTTTTTTTTTTTTTTTTTTAATATTGAAAATAGTGGAACCTAAAACGGAATCGAACGATGAGGAAAGTGTAAAACAAACGACCGACATTTTCCAAGACTCGAATAAACCTCAGGCGAAATTATATCCGAATGGTGTTCTCATATGTAAATCTAGGAAAGGTCCTAAGAAAAGTGTCACGTGGAAAGAAGATTCCGAATTGACGGCCATTCGTTTTTTCGAATTAGACGAAACGGAAAGGGTTAACGTAACGAGAACATTTGTCGACATGAAACTCATGGAAAGGAGTCACGAAAGAGAAGCATTTCAATTGGCAAGAAAATTGGGTAAGAATGATAAAAAACGAACAAAACAGAAAAAGAAAGATTTTTCGCGCGCGTGTGTGTGTGCGTGCGTGAGAGAGAGAGAGAGAGAGAGAAAATGGGAGAGAAAGAAAAAGGAAGGGGAGGGGGATAAACAAATGTATTAAAAATGTTATTTTATAGCTACGGATGATACGATGGAAGAAAGGATACCTTGGGGACCCCTTTACGAAGTTGACATTCCTCCAGATCGTAGATCAACGGTTGAACCTGGAAAATCTAGTCTTGAGAAAAATGTACAGTATGCAAGAGAGAAAACCGTTTTGCAAGCCATATATTTTCACAGAAATTCGTAAGTACTCCGTATTTATTATTATTATTATTAAAGGTCTAAACCCCGTAAGAAAATGTCTTGAAAGTTTTTTGGTTTTTCATGACGTAATGAAAAATATGTATTTTTAACGAATTTTTAGTTTTTTTCTCTTAAATTAATTAGTTTAGTCTTTTTTCCTTCGTATTTAATATAAAAAAAAACCTGTGGTTCGAATTTTTAACATTGTTATCGCGTTCATTTAAGAGAGAGAGTAAAACACTTTATTAAATGTGTATAAAAAAAATTACGATTGTAGAATTCCGGATTCGCCCTCGGAACCCGATCCTGAAATACATCCAACGACAGATCCAAAGATCATACCGTTGGATGATATAACCGGAAATAGCGAAAGCGTATCGAATTTTCAAAACATTCCCTGGCCAGAACCGAAACCGGCTCTCGTGCCTCCATCACCGCCACAATCACAAAAACAAATGGGGGTTCAACATCATCATCATCAACAACAGCAACAACAACAGCAGCAGCACCAGCACCAGCAGCAGCAGCATTCGCATCATACCCAATCGTCATCGGGACCGCATCAGCAAAATTACACGGCGGGATATTCAACGGTTGGCAATTTTCCCGGGTATCCTCAAATGGGTATGCCTGGAATGATGCCTCCTGGACAAGGGAACTGGCGGGTAAGGGTTGAATTTGTTTTTGTAACTAACTCTAAATCGTTATTTATCATAATTTATCGTTTTAATGGCCTTTGGTTGTGTTACAAAATCATGGATCATGTACTCAATATATATAATAAATACATTTTTGAAGTACGGGTCTTTATTTATTTTTCCCCTTCCTTAGGCTAAGCGTTATTATCATTATTATTATTATATTTTAATTAAAATTTTTTTTTTTTTTTTTTTTTTTTTTTTTTTTCCAAATTATTAATAATAAGGAAAATAAAAAATAATAATAATAATAATATAAAGGTAATGACAAAAATTGAGGAAAATTTTTTTTAAAAATTATCCCCGGGTTAATTTTTTATATATACTTTTTGTATAAAAAAAAAAAATTCGTTACCCGGGGGATTTTTTTTTTTTTTTTTTTTTTTTTTTTTTGAAAATAATTTTTTTTAATTTAAAAAAAAAAAATTACCGTTAAATTTTTATTATTATTTTATTTTTTATTTTATTTATTTATTTATTTATTTTTTGAAATTAGTTTCAATACTATTATTATTATTATTTTTTTGTAAAAAAAAAAAAAAAATGGTGGTGTAATTTTTTTTTTTTCGTTTAAATAAAAACACCAAATGAAAAAAAAAAAAAAATTAATAACTATTATTTACATAAATTTATATATATATATATTTATTAATAAGATATTAATCTAATTAATTAATTTTTTTGTTTTATTTAAAGTTTTTCAGGATATATTTTTAACAATGCTGCTCTCTACAATTCTCAATCAATTAATCAATAATAATGATAATAAATTATTATTATTATTATTATTATCGATATGTTTACGTGAAATGTTTAAGAGAAAAAAAAAAAAATAATAATAATAATCATATAATTTAATTTTTTATTTTTGATTTCAGAATATTTCCAATAAAATGATGGATGAAAAAAAAACACAAACCCAAAACGTGATGATATTATTATTATCATTATCATTTATTTATTTATTCATTTAAACCTAAAGGTCCTATTGACTTTTTTAAATAAATATTTTATTTTAATAATTTTCATTTGAAAAAAAGAAAATTAGGTGCCATTAAAAAAAAAAAAATGGTTGTAATAATTTTAAAAAAAAAAAAAAAAAATCCATTTTTATATTATTTTATTTAAATAATATAATTTATTTAAAAAAATTTAAATAAAATATAAATATATATTTATATTGTTATAATATTACATAAAAATAAATATTTAACAAAAGAGAGAGAGAGAGAGAGAGAAAATAATAATAATAAATCCAATACCAAAATTTCAAATTTTACATAGAAAAAAAAAAAAAAAAATTTTAATTATTTTGTCATTTTATTTATTTATTTATTTATTTATTTATACATAACCTTTCAATTGAAAATTTATTTTTTCTTTTATTAAAGGAAAAGTGAGAGAGAGAGAGAGAACTAGAAAATTACATAACAAATCAATAATATAAATAAAACTAATAATAAAAAGTTTTTTTTTTTTTTTTTAATTAAAGGACAAAAAATATTATTATTATTATTATTAATTTTGTTGTTGTTGTTTTTAATTATTTATTTTTTTTTTTTTTTAAAAGTGTTATTAATGAATTGTTAATTAATTTTCCTGACTCATTGTTGAAGAAGAAAAAATCAATGAAAATTTTTTTTTTATTAAATTATTAATTAAAAAAAAATGACAATTAATTAATTAAATTTATTTATTTTTTATTAACTTTTTAAAAAAAAAGGATTTTATTAGAGTTTAGCAAAAAAAAAAAAAAATTTTCTTTAAATATTTTTCCTTACATGTTGTTTGTTGGAAAATTTCCTTCTTTTTTTTTTTTTTTTTTTCTTAAATTACAGATAATACCTTCGACTCCATATTATATTATTATTATTATTATTTTTTATTTCAAAAAAAAAAAAAAAGAAAGCAGCATTGTTAAATTTATGTTGATTATTAATAATATATGTTTATGAATCGATCATAAAATTTTTTTATTTTTGAATTTTCCAGAGCGGCGATGGAAAAGACATGGGAATGAACATGCAATTTCAACCCAACGGTCCCATGTGTCCTCAAATGGGGGGACAACCACCGAACATGTTTAATCCTCCCGGTTCTGATGGTTTTCCAATGAACGGACTTTCCATGCCTGGTTTCAATCCCGGATATCCGATGGCGTGCGATCCCAACATGTACGGACCTCCTATGGGTGCCATGAACATGGGTGGCCCTCCTCCAGGACAATGGAATCGAGGTGGTGGTGGCGGATGGCAGGGTGGAAGACCATTCATGGGACCCGTTAACATGCAACCGAAATTTCAAAAAGGTGTTTGCCATCATTTTGCTAAATTTGGAAATTGTGCTCGTGGAAGTTCGTGTCGATTTATGCATCCCAATTAAATTTAATTTATTTATTATTATAAGTTTTTTTTTTTTTTTTTTTTTTTTTGATATATAAAATAAAAGTGTTGCACTGAAAGTGATCGCGAAACACAAATTTTTCAAAAACGTTTATATATATAAATATATATATATATATATATATATATGCGCGTGTGCGTGCGTGCGTGAGTGCGTGTGAGTGCATGTGTGTGTGTGTGTATACATTAAATTTGTATTTTTATTGTTTAAATAATTGGTTTTTTTATTATTATATTGTACAGTATTTTAATCTTTAACCAGGGTGTAAAAATGAGTTTTGTATAATATTTAATAATTAGAAAAAAAACAAATAATAATAATATTTAAGTTTCTTAAAAAAAAAAAAAAACAATAAAAAAAAAAAATTAAAAATTGTTAAAAAATGGTATCCACTCTGTAAATAAGTTAATTAATAATTATTCGGAGTAAATCCGAAACAAAGGGTTTAATAACATTATTTTGATTTTATCAAGTGTTGTTGAACATTTATGTTTATTTGAATATATATAATTTTGCCTTTATTATTATTATTATAATCAGTTTAAGGTTTATTTAAAAAAAAAAAAAAAAATCTTTTTATTCCTTTTTAAAAATACTTTGAGAAAAAAATCAAATTAATATATATTTTCTATTAAGATTTATAAGATACATATGAATTATCATTATCATATAGTTAAATATCATTAATAAAAAAAAAATGTATTGTAAGAAAAATGTGAAAGTAAATTATCAAAGTTTGTAAAAAGTTTTTGCGCGTTTTTGTCGTGAAATTAGAAAGTGGCAAAATTTAAAATCACAGCCTTCTTTTAAACAGCTGATTCTACGTCTCTTTGGTTTTGCACCTCCGTTGACTCAAATGAAGAGACTTGTCATGGACGGGAATATCTCTTTACATTATGCTGAAGGATGATCGCAAAATAGGTATTTATATTATATTTTTTTCCTTATAAATCATTTCATTTTTTTTTACGTTCATTATTTACCGATCGACATTAAATAATTATTTTTTAATATTAAATACATAAAACGACAAAACATACACGTTTGGTTTGCAATGAGAACTTTTGGCATTGACCCTTTGAAAAATAAAAAATACTTTTAAATTTTGTACTTTTGAAATTATTAATTAATTAATTAAACATTAATGTTTAGAATATTAAAAAAGTTTTTTGTAATATATTTTTATTTAAATATGAAAAAAAATTCTCGGCTTAGGCATATTTTCAGTAATTAAATATATATATAATTGTTATTAAAATTTTTTTTAAAATATTAAATTATGAAATTAATTATAGAATTAAATTATCTTATGACCTTGCATTTAAATAAATTTTACCATATTGTTTACTATTGACTCTTTATTTGAAGGTCTAAATATTGCTTTACTAATAAAAATGACAAGAAGACAATGATATTATTTTATTTATGCAAATAAATTTTTTTTTTGTTTTGAGTGGATAAATTGCCGCAAATTTTTTTGTTGTAAGTTTACATTAAATTATATTTTTATTTAAAAGTGATTTGTTAGCATTTTATTTATTATTTCATTTTGCAGCTTTTCGGTTTAAGAAGACTAAACATTTCATTACTAAATTATAAAAAAAAAAAATTTTCAAATTTTTTTTATCTACAATAATATCATTAAGACCTTTAATATTTATAAATATTTTAACTTATAGATATTTTATTTAATAATATTTATATTTAGATTTATAGTTATTATCAATACTAATATTATAAATTTAATTTTTTATGAATAGTTTGGGTAAATGTGAAAAAAAATTGTTTTTTTTTTTTTTTAAAGTTTTCTTTGTTGTTTTATCAGTTAGGAAATGTTGACAGTAAGTAACATCTAATAAGATAATGAATGTTAAGGATTTTTTCAATAACTTGAAATTGAATTCTTTGTTACGAAAAAAAAATGTTATAATTTAATTATAAATTTTTTTTGTTTTTTAAAGAATAATGAAAACTATGGGTTTAAATTTAAATAAAAATAAATTTTCAACTGTCAATATTAATTATCATTTAAATAATCTTGAACTTGAACTTATAATTCTGGAAAATTACATTTAAAAATGGAATTTTTTTTTACCGTTTTAATATGTCGAATCAAATTATCGACAAATTATACAAACAAAATATTATTGATATTTATTCCTAATATTTTCTTTTTTTTTTTTAGAATTAGAATTAGAATTAGAATCAATCATGTATTTAAAAAAAATTTAATTAAAATAACTGAAGGGAATTCAGGGAACAAGAAAAGAAAAAAAAAAAAAAAAATATGAAAAACGCTCGATTGTGGACTTTTAGAGTGCAAGCAGAAACTCAGCCTGGAGAAGTTGTCGGGGTCACAGGTAATATCCCCGAACTTGGAGAATGGAAAGTTTCTGAAAATTCAAAAGTTGTTTTACTCACCAAGGATTCAACTACATCTAATTGGTGAGTTTTTTTTTTTTTGCATTTTTGTCATATGTAAAGTAAGAAAAATATTATTTCTTTTTTTTTTTTTTTTTAAAAAAAACTCATTCGTGTCGGTGGCGAATTCATAACCCAGGTCAAACGGATGAGGTGGGAAATAAAATGTCAAAAGGTCAAATTGTGTTGTTTTTTTTATCGAAGGGAAAAATTTTTATGTTTTGTGCCAACTTGGCTTTTTAAAATTAGTATTATTATTTTTATTTTTATTTTTTTTTGTTTGGCTTATTCAATTTTTTACAAATTACAGTTTTACTTACTTTTTATTTTTTTTATCAACGTAAGCCCTTGTTACATTTATACTTTATGCCAAAATCAATTCACATGCATAAATAAATTTTTTCTTTGCTGAGGTTAATATTTTGCTTTGTTTTTTTTTTTTTTTTTTAATATACGTCGCAATATCTTATCCAGGGTCAAAATAATTTCTCTTGATTAATTGGCGTTTCCTTTTATTTAAAAATAATGCAAAGGGTTGCTCCTCATTTTGTTGTTGTTGTTGTTGTTCATTTAATCATTATCATTTTCAAATTATTATTATTATTTCTTACAAGTCATTTTCTATAGTTTTCGAAGTTTTTGTTGTTGTTGTTGTTGTTGTTGCATTTCTTAAATAATTTATCAATACTTTCTTAAACGTTTTAAGAAAAAAATCCCACATGATGAATTTTTATACGTAGAAAGTTTATTTCAAAAAAAGAAAGATTTAATTTGGAAAACCAGGTTGTTGTCCCTCCCCCCCCGCCCCATATCCCGGAATTCGCCACTGATGAAAACCTTAACATTTCCACAAATCTTTCCATATGGATTTCAGTGACGATATATGGACCGTCACGAAGCTGTTACCTTCCAACGAAGATATATACTACAGGTTTTTTATTTGTATCGTCGTGGATAACGAAAAGTACATCGTTAAAAGAAGAGAAGTGTCTTTAAGACCGAGAATCATTGAAAAAAATGGTTTGTATTTATATAAAAATAAATTGAAAAGAAAAAAAAAAAAAAAAAAACTTTTTTTTTTTCAAATTTAAAGTTGAAAAAAATAATATTAGATTTATTTAAGTCCTTTAATTTGATGAGTCAAAACGACGACGACACGACATAAATAATATGGTTTTAATTGCAATTTTTTTTTTTTTTTTTTTTTTTTTTACATTCATTGATCGATTATGCACGGTGCAATTTTATTTATTTATTTATTTATTTATTTATTTATTTTTTTTCCAGCTCCAAGTAATACGATCGACGTTGGGAAAATTGAGTCGTTTGCTAAATTCGGTTACTTCGATCAGTGCTACTGGGTTGACAAAGGATGGCTCACGTCGCAAACATTAATTCAAATCAAATTTCATTCCCATCCGTTGTTTTTTTGGAAAGAAAAATTAAAAACTCGCCTAACATTTATAAAACTCACTCCGGTTGATTTGACAAAAAAAAATAATGCGGATTCCATATTGGCCTACGAATCCGTCGACAACAATAGCCTTAGTTTGGATACTTTGGACATTGGAAGCGGATCTTCCGATGCTTGGCCCATAACGGAAATTTGCGTGAGTTGACGTGTTTTTCCTATTTTTCTTTAAAGAATAGCAAAAATTTTTGATTATTATTTGAAATAAGAAAGAGATAGAGAGAGAGAAAAAAAAAAAAAATTGTTTTTCAGGTGCTCAATGATTCGGAAGGTGAATTAAGCCCTCAGCGACAATTCGGTCGAGAAATAAAATCTGATGATTTTATCGTCTTCCAAATTCAGGTTCATAACATTGAAAATTTTGCCTACCTTATTGATTACTACGTGCCCAGATCTAGAGCGAGTGAATCCGAACCACCCTGCCACATAGGTTTTTCGTATATATTGCCAAGCGCTATGACATCAAGCGAAGGAAGAATAATTGTTCCGGTGACATCTACGAAACATCAACCGATCGGTCAAATTTCAGGTTGAAAATTTAATAATATTTAATGTCATTTCCCCCCCCCCTCCGCGTATTTTGAAATACAAAGTAAAGTTTTATTTTCAGCCGATTACTTAGTCATCAAACCGATTGAAAATTATACTTGCGACATGAGTACATCTTATGCAAAATATTGGAAGCACAGTTTGCAGGGTCTCGATGTTGGTCACCGTGGTTTAGGAACGTCATTCAAACAAAAGAGGTAAAATTTAATATAAAAATAAATTTTAATTTTCAATTTTATTTTATTTATTTATTTATTTATGCAGTTGTGCTGCTGGAGTTCGTGAAAATACAATAGCCTCACTTAAAGAAGCTGCTTCTCACGGAGCGGATTACGTCGAATTTGATGTACAATTGTCAAAAGATATGGTACCCGTCATTTATCACGATTTTCACGTTTGTATCTCGTTGAAAAGAAAAAAGGTCAACATCGACGACATGTTGGAAATACCTTTAAAAGAATTAACTTTGGAACAACTTCAATGCCTCAAGGTTATCATTATTAAAAATTTGTTAAACAAATTTTTTTTTTTTATTCGTTCTTGAAACGCGTTCAAATTATTATTATTATTTAAAATTGTTTTTATAGGTTTATCACATTCAAGAGGGAATAATTAATAAACAATTATTTTTCGATGAACATCTTGAAGATCATCAACCCTTTCCTACTCTTAAACACGCCTTAAATGTTTTAGATCCGATCGTTGGATTTAATATAGAAATTAAATGGACAATGTTGTTAAAGGTAAAAAAGGACTCTTTACATTCTTTTGGAAAAAGGTTGGGCATATAATTATGACACTGACTTTTTCTTCTTCTTCTTCTTCCACGACAGGATGGAACATTCGAATTAAATAATCCGTTCGATTTGAACACGTACGTGGATTCCATATTGAAAGTCGTTTTGGAAAACGGTGGAAATCGTAAAATAATTTTTTCTTGTTTTCACCCGGACATATGCACGATGTGAGTAGTAGAATTATCTTAATAATAATAATAAAAATTAAATTTAACATATAGCATTCTCTTATTATCAACAGTCCAGAACAGTCGTTATCAACAACAATTCCTCAATTCTCCGCCAATGAATGTATTTTTTATCAGAATAATAGACGAATAATTAAATTGTCGTTTTTTTTTCTACCCTATTTCAGGGTTCAGAGGTTGCAGTATTCTCATCTGTCTATCCGTCTGACTCTCTTAACCTGATATTTAAAAGACAATGTATGTACCTTTTAAATATGAAAAAAAAAAAAAAAAAAAAATATGTATGCCGTGCAATCAATTACTCTCAAAACATTTTTTTTATTATTTCGTACAACAACAAACGTAAAAAAAAAAAAAAAGGTTCGAAAAAAAAAAAAAAATTGTTTTTATTGTCACGTTAGGAGAGTAAATTTTTGTCAAAAGCATTCACGTCGATCGACGACACATCGAACAATACAAAAACAGGTACGATAAACCTGTTTCTCTGTTCTCCATCAGTCAGTTCACCATCGTCAATAATAAATAAAAGTAAAAAGTCTCGTGGTTTAAGATATTTAAACTTTACAAAAAAAATTTTTTTTTAAAAAATTAATATTTGGAAGAGGATCTAAAATGTCTACACACAAAACCTTTCTTTATCAGTGGGAAACAAACAAAAAAAAAAAAAAAAGAAAATTTTTTTTTTTTTTTTTATTTTTGTTATTGTTTGGTGAGTAATTTAAAGTTTGATTTGGTGAATACTAAAAAAAAAAAAAAAAAAAATTTAAGAAGTTAAGAAAAATTGTTAGAATGAATAAAAAAAAAAAATTAAAGTTATGGAATAATCTCGTGTCTCAGTGCATATACTACATAATATGTTTTTTTCGTTTTATTTATTAATTGATTGATTGATCGATCGATCGATTTTGAATTCAATGAATGATGATTGCCTTGAAGAAAGGAAGAATAGAATATGATGGATTTTTTGCGACGGCGTAGAGCAATGGAAACAAAATGAAAATTTTATTTTTTTATTTTTATTCAATTCAAAGATGATGAAGAAGAAGAAGAAGTTGTGTCGTTAGCTAATATATATATATAAGAAATAAGGATGATTGATCGGTTACGCCCCCCTCCCCCCCGTTTTTTTTGCGGTGGCTACGTCACTAAAGTTTTAATTTTAAAACAGAACATTCGATTGTTTGTTGGATGTTACCGTCGAGATCATTGAAATTTTGTCAACGAAAATGATTGAGTTTAAAATTATTTCTTATTATTATTATTATTATTATTATTACGAACTGGTACATCATCATCATTATTATTATTACAATAAACTCATCAGGGGATTATTGAAAATGAGAGTAGTAGTTCATAAATGAAAAAAAAAAAAAAGGAGGTTGAAGATGAAGTGGTCGAATGTTTTCTTTTTTTTTTTGGGTTCAAGAACATAATAATAATAATATTGTAATGTTTTTGTTAACAAAGTTTCTTTCATTTTTGTTTGCAGCAAATTTATATCATTTTGATTTTTTTTTGACGTTTGTGTTATGAAAAATGTGAAAATTTTATAGTTGTAGGTCTTTTTTTCTCTCTCTCTCTCTCTCTCTCTCTCTCTCTCTCTCTCTCTCCCGAAGGTTAATGAATTAATAAAATGTATTAAATTAGTTATATGTATTTTAGGGTTAGACATAAGCAAACAAAATATCCCGTCATGTTTTTAACACAAGGAGTCACATCGAAATATCCAATGTACCACGATCCGAGATGTCACACAATCGAGGCAGCCGTTTATTTTGCTCAATCATTAGGAATATTGGTTGTTATTTATTTTTTTAAATTTTCTTTTTCGTCTGCTTCTTCTTTTTGTTTTTTTTTATTATTTAAAAGTGATTTAAATGTTTTTTTTTTTTTTTTTTTGGTGTTGCAGGGAATAAATGTTCACACGGAAGACATATTGAGAAATCCGAAACAATTATCGTTTGCCAAAGATCGCGGCCTTATTGTTTTCTGTTGGGGAGACGATAATAACGATGCGGAAACAATAAAATATTTAAAAGAATTGGGATTGCACGCCGTCATTTACGATAAGTGAGAAATAATAATAAATAACAAATTATTATTATTATTATTATTATTTGTAAAAATGTAAATTTTAATTTTGAATTTAATTTTAGAATAAATGAATTCGGACCGAAGAAATTGAAAGAAACAAATCTTTTCGTTTCCGAAGCTAAAGAACATCAAAAACAACTTTTGGAAGTTGCCGATCACATACATTCGCCATCATCAAACGGTGATCCTTCTTCTCCTTCTTCTGTAAGTCATTAGAAACCTAAAAAAAAAAAAAAAAAAATTTTTAAATATATCATTATTATTATTATATCTCTTTCTTTTCTTTTCTTTTTAGTGGGTGATTTCCGATTCACACATTTAAAAGTATTTGAAAATATTATTATTATTATTATTATTGTTACGGATGAGTAAGTAAAAAGTTTTTAATTGAATTTCATTCAATTTTTCCCCTTGATTAATATTTAATTTTTTTTTTTTCTTTTTTTTTCTTTTTCAGTCACGCACTCAAATTCAAATTTTTGGAACACGGATAATGATAATAATAATTATAATAATAAAACATTGATTGTAATTAATAATAGCACTCAAATAATTTTTTAAAATTATATTTTTTCACGTGTTTAAAAGTAGCCGATTAAGTGCCGTAAAACAAAAAAGAAATTTCTTGCTAAATAATTTTTTTTAAATATTTAAAAAAAAAAAAAAAATTTTTTTTATTTATTTATATTTTCTCAATAAGAAATGAAAAAAAAAAAAAAAAAATCAGTGAGTGAAGGAGATTAATTTAAAAAAATGATTAAAACCTCTTTGTTGTTGTTGTTGTTTTCAAAAATAAATTTTGTTTTACTTTTTATATATATTTATATATATAGAGAGGGAGAGAGAGAGAGAAAATATTATTATTATTTAAAAAAATAAATATATTTATATGTATTGCTCAGAATTTACAAAGTACAATTTTATTTTTATAATTTTATTTTATTTTATTTTATTATCATTATTATTTTTTTTTGTTTTAATTGACACGTATATTGCTATGATTATAATTAAATTTATAATTTAAAAAAAAAAAAAAAAAAAGAATATTGTTCCGTTTTATTTTATTTATTTTTAATAAAAGAAAATTGTATTATATATTTATATTTTTTTTAAAATAAAATTACAAGATAATAATTAATTTTAAGTTTAAAATTTATTTATTTATTTTTTTTTTTAACGGTTCTTATCCTATGTTGCCAAACTGTGGGAAGTTTTAAGAATTTAGCGCGCTCTATCGTGATTAGTTGTAGTTACCCGTTTTAAATTGTGAGTTTTTTATTAAATTTCAAAATGAATGAAAATGAATTTAATGAATTTGATATAAGTAATGTTAATGATTTATCCGATGAAGAATTACAAGAAGCTTTTGCTGCTGGACTTATCAAACCTGGATTAAATATTCCATGCGAGGAAAAAGAATTAAAAAATAATATCGTAAGTTTACTTTTATCTTGATTCTAACCTAACTTGGTTAAAACGCGTGATACAAAAATGAAATCTTTATAGAATTTTGTTTTATTATTTTATTTATTTTAAGCGTTTTAACTTTTAAATTTATAACTTTTGGATTATTATTAAAATACAAACTACTTTTTTATTTGTTCATATTACTTAATTTAAGTTTTTATAGTTATGTCAAATTGGTCATAAAAATTATTTTTTTCAGAGTGGTTTAAAATCAAAATTAAAAGAATTTAAATTAAATTTAAATTGGATAGAAACATTAGATGTGGTCAGTACTCCAGCTCCAATGCCTCCTGAGGCTTATGATGAGGTACTGTTATTTTTTTTTGTTATTATTGTGGAGAAAACTGAGAGGGGAAAAAAAACAAAACATTTTTTATTAATTTCAGGTGACAAAAGATCAAAAAATTCCAAAGCTAAAAAATTATTATAAATTTAATGGAGCATTTCAGAGTAAAGATTTTACAAATGATTTCAAAAGAGAAATGTTATTTCATAGACAAGCTCAATCTGCAATTTTGGAAGGATTACCCAGATTAAAATCATCAGGAATATTAACCAAAAGACCTGATGATTATTTTGCAGAAATGGTTAAATCAGATCAACACATGCACAAAGTATGCGCACATACTATTTCTATACTAGTTTAATTTACACTTAAATGATAAATACAAAATGATTTTAATTTTAATTTAAGGTTCGATTAAATTTACAATCGAGACAAACAGTCATAGCTCAAAGCGAAAGAGCTAAAGAATTACGTAGATTAAAAAAAGTAGGAAAGAAAGCCCAAGTAAGTAATTTGTTCATTATTATTATTTTTATATTATTATAAAGTGTATTTAAAATTACCTTTATAAGTATTTTAATCAAATAGATTTTTATTAATTTTAATTTTTAAAAAATTGACAAGAAAAAATTTGTATGATTGAATAAATGTGACTGTATTCGTATTTTAGATTGAAACAAAATTAAAACAAGCAGAAGAAAAAAGAAAATTAATGAATGATGTTAAAAAATACAGAAAAGGATTAACTAAAGATTTAAGCTTTTTAGATGGGAAAGATAATAATAAATCAAATTCCGCTAAAAATAAAACCAAGTTGAGTGCAAAATCGAAGAAGAAGAGGTAAGTTATCGTTTTAAATCGAGAACCATTATATTAATTTTAAAATTTCTCAAATGAAATAATGATAATGATAATTATTATTATTATTTATGTTTGTTTAATTTTAGAGCTGCTAAAGATGAAAAATTTGGATTTGGAGGTAGGAAAAAAGGTTCGAAAAGAAATACTAAAGAAAGTTCTGCATACATTGGGAAAATGTCTAAAAAAGGTTTGTCGATTATTTTATTTTTTTTTGGGGGGAGAGGGGAGAGGGAATTCTTCAAATGATTTATAAAATTTTTTTTGTATTCTACAGGTAAAAAAACAGGTTTTAAAACAAATAAAAGGTTAGGAAAAAGTAAAAGAATAAAAAAAAAATCAAGAAAGTAATTTTACTTAACAAAAAAAAAAACAATTAAGACCTTTATTTAAATTTTAAATAATAATAATAAATTTTTTATTATTAATCATTAATTCATTTTATTACTTCTTTTAAATAATTTTTTATTAATTTATTAAGTCATCATGTGTCTCTGTCTTTGTTAAATCTCGACTAACACATTTTGGAACAAATTAAAATTGCAATAAATATTTAATGAGTTTTCTTCGAAAAACCAGGTAAGTTTTTGTTTATTTTTTTTATTTTAAATATTTGAAACTAAATTTATCCAAAATCATCAAAAATATTAAATAAAAAGGTAAATATTAAGAATTATCTTGATGATGAAAGAATATTTCAAATGTTGATGAAAACAAATGTCTTTTAAAATTTTCTCGAGTTTTATCTTCTTCCAACATGAAAAATTTAGGAATAAATAATTTTTTAGTTTTTTTCTTTTGATAATATTGAGATAATCTTTTTAAGTAAGTAAAAAATTCTTCTTTTAATTTAAATTTAATTAAAAAAATTTTTTTTAACCACAATAACATAATGAAAAATGTAAAAATTAAATAATAATAATAATAATAATAATGACAATAATCTTTTGAAATAATTTAATTTTTAATTAAATATTATTTTTATTATTAATTTTTTACAAATCTAATTAGTTTTAATTACATTAATTAAAACTTTTTCGATTAGGGTGAGTTTTATTATTCTATGGTTAAAAAAAAAAAAAAAAAAAAAAAAAATTTGATTTTTTATTTAAAAAAAAACAAAAAAAGGGGAAAAAAAAATTTTCAACCGTGCCTGAGTTTGTGTTTTTGTTTTTTTTTTTCCTTTCCTACTTTAATAATAAATAAAGTGGGAGAGAATGATACAGAGTGTCAAAGATGTTGGATGAAATGTATTTAAATAATAAAAATGAAAAACCCACAACAACCTATGCCCCCCCCCCCATCATGTCAGATGATGAGGGAGGGATGCTGGGAGAATATCTCTGCTCATATTGTTATAAATTTTACAATATATACAACAAATCCCAATGAAATTTTGTTGTTTTATGTACATAACATATTTTTACTATGTCAGTTACATGAATTTAAAAAAATTTCGTTTTCGAGTAGTACTTTTGTAACACGTCAAAAAATATAAATCCCTTATCATTATTATTATCATTTATTTATTTTACATTATGCAGAATCTCCATACATTGTTCTGAACATTTTTATTATATTTTTTTTCTTTTCCATGATACTATAATTTAAGTTTTGTCCTTATATTTTTTTTTCTTTTTGTTCAGAAAAAATTAAAAATTTTTAATAATGATTAGTAGTCAACCTTTTTTTTAGGCTAAAACAATCGTAAAAAACATTTTTTCTTAAAAAAATTTTCCACAATTTTCCAACCATGTTTGATTTTAACTATTAACTTTACACGCAAAATAAATTAATTAATCGTGTTATTAATAATTCTACATAAAATTTTTTCCTTTTTTCTGCAAATGACGTCATTTAATTATTATTATTATTATTACATTTTTACGTGGTCCATATGTTTAAAATAATTTTATTTAATCGTAAATTAACAATTTTTCCCCCCTTTGAAAACGAATCTCGTGGAAATTTTTAAAGAAAACGGAAATAGTTATGTGATACCCTTTTCGAGTTTTCCTTATCATTAAGGAAAAATAAGGTAGTGGTAGTAGCAACTTTAAAAACCTTAATCGATAAAAGATTATTAAAAAAAAAAAAAAAAGTAGTAATAATAATAATAATAATAATAATAATAATAGTAATAAAGAGAATAGATTTCATTTGTTGTAGACCGCATTTGGCCCGGCCTCTTAAACGACTCAAATTAAATTTCATTGCAAATTTAAACGCAAGCGCGGAAATGAAAATCCCGCCTTCGAGTACTCGCGTTGGGACGTCACATGGTTTTCTTTCTTTCTTTCTCTCGAAAATATCGTCGGGTAATGATGGAGACTACGTGTTAAATAAAAAAAAAAAATTCCGAACGTTTTATGGACAAATTTGATTAACACAATCATTATTATTATTATATTTACGATAAGTATATTTAAAAAAAAAAATTTTTTTAAATAAAATTTAATGGCCCCCCCACCCCCTGATAGGTTTTTTTTTTTTTTAAATCAAAATGGTTTCGTCGTAATTATTTAATTTGTTTATTGATATTTATGGCAAGGTACTTATAAAAATTTGTATTTTCTTACGATAAATTACGGATTTAATTAATGCATTTTATTAATTAATAAATAATATTTTTAATAACGTAAATAAATTGATAAACATTATTAATAATAAATTTTACAGGGAAAAAGAAACAAGAAAACGTATTGAAAATAATTTTGTTTTTTTTTTTTTTTGTAAAAATGGGGTTTTTTCATATGTATGAAAAAAATTTATTAACTTCTTATTAATTTATTTATTAAAATACATAAGGTTTAATTTGTAGGTTAATAAAATGGGACATTATTAATATAATCAATTAATTAATTAATTTTTTTTTACATTAATGTGATTTTACGTGCGATAGGAAAAAGTTTACGGGAAAATTTTTTTTTTTTTTTTGTTTTTTGTTTTTAAATAAAAATAAATAAAAAAATAAAATTTCTATAAATAAAAATAATAATAATAATATTTTATTTGGAAATGTTTATTAATAAGTAAATTTAAAAACTAAATAACGATAATAAAAATTATTAATTTTATTATTTAAAACTTCGTTAAAAAAATTTGTTTTAATTGGAACTTATTTATGAATTAAATTATTTATAACAAAAAATAAGTAAATAAATAAATAAATAAATTTTTCACTTTTTGGGGGTTTATATTAAATAATTTAAATACGTTTTTTCATAAATTTTTATTTTAATAAAAATTATTTTAATAAAATAATCAAAAATTGATTTTTCACACCCATTAAAACTAATCGTTTTTATTTATTTATTTTTTTAAAAATTAAAATAAATTATTGAATTTTCGATTATTAATAATAATAATAATTAATATTTTCAATTATTAAAGGTGTATAATAATAATTAATTTTTTTTAAATAGAAATAATAAAGAAAATTCTATGATAAGAAACCTTATCATAGTAATTTTACTATATTATTATTATTACTTGGATTAAAAGTAATAAAATAAATTTAATAATAATAATAATGAAAAAAAACTCACGTTAATCGAATTTTTCAATTAAATTTATATAAAATTATTTAATTTTTTTTTATACATAAAACAGAGAGAGAGAGCCTCACTATTTATTTATTCATTAAAATTTACGTTTTTTACGTTTTTCAAAATACAATCAAGGATGGTAATTATAATTACTTTAATTTTATTCAACAATGATTTATTAAATGTAATTAATTTTATTGATAAAAAAAAAAAAAAATTAATATCGAATATATTTATATAAATAGACTTTATTAACTTTTTAATTAACGAAAAAAAATTAATTAATTAATTAATTATTATTTTCTATTGCGGTTAAAAATATACATATATTGTTTTAAATAATAATAATATTTTTTGTATGTGTATGTGTATATAAAGTTTAGAAAAAATTTCTTTTTATTAATTAATAAGTTAATTAATAAAAAAAGAAAGAGAGAAAGAAAGAGAGAGAGAGAGAGAAAAAAATTTTTTATTTTAGAAAGTTACATTGAAAGCTACCGAAATTGCGAAACTTAATAGTTATAAAAAAAACCGTTAGGAGCGCTGTTGTTTGTGTTAGTTGAGTATTTCTGAAATGATCACACGGCACAGCCGCCACACACAAAAACCGGTCTTCGTTCTCCCGTCGTCTAGTCTAGAGCAGATGCTCGGTTAGTAAACATATTTGGTTAAACGCGAAGTTTTCGTTAGTTCAGCACACGCTTGGAACCGTTTTCATTGTGATTTTTTTTTTATTTTTTTTCTCTCTCTCATATTTTTGTCGAACTTATCATATATACAGCCGAAATAGAGACGTGTGCGTGTGTGCGTGCGGTTATAATAAAATTCAATATCTTTATATAAAATAAAATAGGTATATATATAAATTAAAACTCGATACATTTTTCATTATTATTATTATTTTAAATGAAAATTTATTTATAAAAAAAATGATAAATTTCGCATTAGGCTGTATATTTATTATTTGCTTTGTAAAGCAATCGTTATATCTAATCAGAAAGTGAAATTCTCATTCGATTTTTTTTTACTATTCACAAAGTTAAAGATAGAAATTCAAATTTTTTTTTTTTTTTTTGAAAATTCGTCTCGTTGTAAAACCGTTGACCTTCTATCTCTCTCTCTCTCTCTCTTTCTCTCTCTTTGACTTTCGATATGTTTTACCCGTCTATTAAAATTTAAGTTTTTAATGAGTGTTTATTAATTAGTGTTTGAACCGTAAAATTAAAAAAAAAAAAAAATTTATTTAAAAAAAAAAAAAAAAAATGATGTTGCCGGGATAAAATGATAATAGTGAATTAATATTTTTTAAAAAAAAAAGAAAAACAATATTAAAAGATTTAGTCACGTGATGTCCATTTGGCAACATCGGCCTGTCTGAGGGTCAAGAGTTGTGGGACGAAGGCGGTAAAGTTGTTTTTCAACCAAGGAAAGCGACGATTTCTCACAAGTAAGAACCCTATTATTCTTTTAACCAAAAATTTTTCGTTTTTTTTTTTTTTTTTCCCCGCCGTTCGTCCATTTTTATAAAATATATTTTAATGTCGTCATCGAAAAGTATTTTTCCTAATCGTTTAAACTTTACAAGAAAAACAAAAAAAAGGAAAAATTTTAATTTCATTTAATTTTATTATTTTTTTTTTTTTCACTTCATTGTTTATATTTTTATATGTTGATTTAATGTTTTTTTATTGTCAACTAATAGCATTCCCGTAATTTTTCTTTTTGTTTAAATAAATTAATTCAATTTAATTTGTAATTGTTTACGTTTTAACTTAATTAATTATATATATATATATATATATA